TACCCCAGTGTTGAGTAACAACCTTTCCCAGACAGTGCAACACTACTTATTTGTTTTATGGAAAAGAGAATTGGATTACGGAACTGCTAAGTTTCTTAAGTATGTTGGTTGTGCAGTTTCCGAAGTAACGCCATAAGGACCATGAAATGTGTCACGTGAGTCGGTTTTTGATGACTTGTGAATGGAATGTTTCTGGGTAGAGAAAGATTCGATCAAGAAAGAGTTTTAGTAGACCCTGAGACTATGGATGAGTCTCCTCAAAGTATTCAGGTGATTAAGTTAACCTGAAGTAACCAGGAATGGCAAAAGAGATCAACAGATGGATATGCCACTAATCGAGTGTGTGTAAGGTAAATGGTTTGATATTTTTGGAAAATTCACCACGAACAGAAATGAAGAGAATTGGAAAAGAGACAAGATAAGATTTAAACACATCAGACCGTTTTGATCATTAAAAGAATCGATGAAGCTGCATACAAGTTTGTGATGCCTTCAGAATTGGCTAAGGCACATAATGTATTTTGTGTTCGATGCGTTGTCACTAGGTGGCAGATTTGTCACATGGGATTATGGTGTAACTATTGAGAATTAAATTGGATTCGACTTGATAAGGAACCAAGGACGACTTTGGATTGGAAAAAGAAGGTCCTGAGAATTAAGACAGAGTAAGTAGTAAAGCTTTGTGAAGGAAATCATTCAGTAGAAAAGTATGTGGGAGAAAGAGAATCGGATGAGAAAGATTTACCCGAAGCTATTGTTGGAGTATGGTTGATTTAGTTGGTTGCTGGAATTTCGGGGACGAAATTCTATAAGGAGGGAAGATTGTCACAGCCCGTCCCGGAATTTTAATTCTGAGGACATGAAAAGACGAAAATGCCCTTAAACGGGACTAAGGGGCGAAAATTTAACAATTTGGATTGAGTTGGACACGTGGGATCCCCACATCCCTCAAAACCTTCCCCAATTCCCGTACCTTGTCTCTCTATCTCTCTTCCCTCACGACTCTCTCTCACTCTCAGTTCTCTCTCTTCCTCTCCGACGCTCAACCTCACCCAAAACCACCTAAAACATAAACAAACGTCCAAGATAAGACCACATTTGGACTCCTGGAACTTCCACGATCACGTAGACACCAATTTCAGGTAAGTTTTGCTTCGAAAAACCCTAGTTTCAAAGTTCCCGTGAAATGGTACTGTTCATGATCTTTTAAATGGTTACGATTTAGGCTAAAACAAGATCACAGCGAGCTTAGTGAGGTCCCAAGGAAGCTCGGAGTGCTTCGTTGGAAGTTTTTGGACGTAAAAACACGGAGATCGACAAGTTCAAAGTTTGGCCGGAGCTTTCGAGGCATTTTCCGGCGAATCTCCGGCGATTTAGGAGTCGAGGTAGGTATCAATCTCTTCGTCTCGTCAAGTACTACAACTTTCCTTTTTTTTTCACTCAATTTCGTTGAGTATTGAAGAAGTTATACTCATTTGAAAAATACCCAGTTTCCGGCGACCTCCGAGGCTTTCGAGGCAGTTTCCGGCCAAACTACGGCGAACTAGGTGTTGTGCAAGGTACAATTCTCTTTGTCTCTTCAAGGGCTACAACTTTCGTTTTTGAATCACTTGATTTCGTTGAGAAATGACAAAGTTATAGCAATTTGAAAAACTGCCCAGAAAACGGCCGCCGGAAAAACCAGTCCGGCGACCCAAGGAAGAAGAAGGTGCTACAGTAAAAATAAAAAATAAAAATAAAATTATTTTAAAAATATGTCGACGTCCGTGACGTCGAGTAGATCACTGTGGTATATTCATATACCTAAATTGTACACCGTATGAGAAAGTTATTGAAGATTGTTGGTTAGGTGTTCAAATAACGTTTTATAGTTTTCACATTTAGGTGAAAATGTGAATTGATGATCCGACCGTTGGATCGTCACCAAACTTTGATACGTTGTAATACGTAATATTTGAGGATTATTGGAACTTACGGATTGGGAATCCGAGTTACGGATCTTCCGGAATTGGAATTGTAAGTCCATAATATAAAATGTTAACCGTCACTTAGTTTTGGAAATTGACGGAGATCCGACCGTTGGATGGTAATGAAATTTTAGGATGTTGTCCTAGAGGTATAGTGTGGACCTTTGGAAGTTATGGATTTAAAATCTGAGTGGCAGATCTTCCGGATCGATCAACGTAGTGACGTATTTTATATAAGTTATGTATTCTATCGATATGAATTCTGAGCCTGGATTTGATTACTATTCTAGGCGGCGATCGTCATGACGCCTTGATGTGTGGTGCTAGGGAGTTGTTGGACGAACTCCAGGTGAGTGGGCAGTTTTGTTTTCCGTATATATATATATATACTTAACGTTTTCCCAGAAATTGAAAATGCATGAAATTATGTTTAAAATGAAATGCATATGAGTTATGTGGAAAAACGGGAAGTGAAATACCATGCATAGAATTGATATGAAAAGTATATAGAAATGTGAGTTGAAATGCCATGCATGAATTAATATATGATGCATATGTATGAATTGGTGCGGTGGACGCACAGGTAAGAATTGATTTATGATGCATATGTATGAAATGGTGCGGTGGACGCACAGATGAATATTTAATTACTGTTATGATGATGATGATATATATTGAGCTCAAATCCTGCACCATGGTTTAGTGCTTATAGTATTCACCGCATCGCACGCTCGCCTTGGATCCAAGTAGATGCTAGTCGTACAGTCCACGCGGAGTGGGTACGACAGACCAGTCGCGAGAGTGTTAGTGAGATTCCGACTGGTGGGTGACCTTAGATTATGTGCACAGATGATTTATGAGAAGCACTAGAGCGTAACTTGTGTGCAGAAGGCCGGACGGGTCACAGAGGTGACTCCGGTAGAGTGATAATGATAGATTTTGAGCTCTAGGTTCAACCGTATAGGGCTATTAGAGGGCCTACGGTTGATTACTTTCTTGCACCTGATATGATTATGTTGATGCATTCATACCTTATTACTGTTGAGATGATGTGGCATGGCATAATTAATATGAGAAATGTTGAGATGACATGGCATGGCATGATTGATAAAGAAAAATGTTGAGATAGTAAAAATGAAGTTTGAGAATATATATGTATATTTATATTTTACATTTCTGGGAAAGTATACAGGTTTTACGGAGAGGGGTTACAACGTTTTGAGAAATGTTTGGATTTGGAAAAGAATTGTTTTACTGACCCACTCAATTTTGGTTTTGCGCCCCTCCAGGTTCAGGAATCACAAAGGTGTGGTGACTACGAGGAATTCGACGGTGTTCTGACAGATTGGACAAAATTAGGACTCACCTTCGGGTGTATCAATTTAAATTGTATCTTAAAGCTTCCGTACTGTGCAAATGGTTACGTCACTCTCACGTGACGGCCAACATGCCCTCCTTCGGGACGGGGTGTGTCATTTTAAATAAAAAACCATAATTTGTGGGATTAAAAATATTAAAATATAAATATACTATTGTGTGTGTGTGTGTAAACATGGGTACATTCATAAAAAATAACCAAAAAATTATTGTATCAAAACATGGGTACATTCTTCAAAATGGGTACATTTAGCAAAAATAAAAATGGGTACAAATAAATAAAAAAATATGGGTACAATACAAATAAAACTTTAAAAAATATGGGCACAAAAAGAAATTAATATATGGGTACAAATTAAAACTGAAAGGAAAATTGGTACAAATTAAAAAAGGGTTGCAAATTAAAAATGGGTACAAACTAAAAATAAAAATATATGATAAAAAATTTAGCCATAAATATAAATATACTAATTGTAATATTTTTAATATTAAATGAATATATTTAGAAATAAAAAATATTTTATTATTGAAATAATTAATGATATTATTAATACAAAGGACCTTGATCAAAAATTGAAAAGTAATAAGGTTTTAATCAATAGAGTAGTAAAAATAAGGATGAAAACCTAATTACTCCATTTAAAAATGTTTCATATTTAATTTCAAAATCAATGTGCCAACCCTAGTTATTTATATAAACTCCTAGCTAGAAATAGGCTTTCCTTTTCTTTTTGTTGATACTTTTTTCCCTCTGCCAACAAATAGAGTTAAACCAAGTAACATTGCAAAGGCATAATGATAGAAATTTTCCAATGTTCGATCGGGGAGAATAATTTTAATTTACTTTGGTCTTATATACCTACGTTATAATATATATTTTTGATCCAACTATGTATTTACACTAACGAATGAAGAAATAAATTGGTTTTTAACTTACCATTCATGAGATTCGAATGTAAGACCTTTTATTTACAAGTAAAAATGCATATCCCTAAACCGTTGTCTTAAAGGACTATTATATAATAAAATGAGATTGCTTATTCATTGTATTTCCAAAACAAGCTAATTTTTTTTTTAAACTTCTGTAGTGGAGTTGCATACTTCATGAATTGGTGGGGGTGACAGGGAAAGTGAATTTTTTTATTAAGGGTACTTATTTCACAATTATCACGTTTCTCATGTTGCACCAAACAAAAACTTCCCTCGTTTTATGGTAGGGCCAAACAAGCAAAGGGTGTCAATAATGCATTTCAACTCCAAAACTCAAACCCCAATTCTAACTTTAACTATTGCTTTAAACCCTACAAGGGAATGCAGACGCGGTAAAAGATAGATCAGAGAGCAACCAAAAGTGCAGCACGTGGCACAATCCCATTAACAAAAGCAAAGCAGTTTACATGTGTCTGTATATTTTTTTATTTTTATATAAATATAGATGAGATTTCTCTTCGATCCTCTTTATGGGAATCTTAAGAATCTTTATATTATGACCGTTCATTATATATCATACGTTCAATTTTCGTTATGTATTATTTGTGTTTAATTTTAAATAAATAAATTCAAAATGATTTATGACTGCATGATGTACGATAAACGGTTAGGATGAGAGGATCCTTACGATGGGATCCATCTCCTATAAATATTATATATCTTCTGTGTGGACGGAAGACTTGTATAAGTTGTATGGTGCTTTTAAATATCTAATATCTCAACCTTGTAAACTTCACATCCCTCTTCAGTTTTCTTCTTCACAGCCCTCTTCAGTTTTCGTCTTCTTCTCTCTAACCCCCCCACAAACGATGGTTTCCAAGTTCAAGAGGCCCTGCAACTTGATCGAGCCAGCTGCCCATAAGCTGGGCATCAGTGATAAAACCAGCCATGGGAGCTCAGTGGCTGTTGGATTGGGAATCCTTGTACAGAATTCACAAAGAAATAAGACAAATATCATTGAGAAATCTGCATTAAGACTGAGCCAATCCACAACCTGCAGCTCCCTCGAGCAATTCTCTTGCTTTCTTAAAACATGTCACTTATGCAACAAGGGATTAAGCCTTGATAGAGAGGTCTACATGTACAGGTAAAAATTAATTTACAGAATATTTAATTCAACCCAAAGGCTAGAAGAAAATAGGGCGTCTAGAAATCGTTTCTCTCTATGATTATATTCTTCTAAGAATAAAGGGAAAAACTCTCCATCTTAAGCTGGTAACTTCATATTTCATTCTGAAATGTTTTTAGCTGAGTGATGCATATATACTTTGTCGTATAAAATATTTCTACCACCAGAATTTTAATTTTTAGGAGTTTATATTATGATTCTGATATATATTGATTAGTTACTGAGATCGTTTACAATTTTGAATGCAGAGGTGATCTAGGTTTTTGCAGCATAGAGTGCAGGAACAGACAGATTGTTATTGATGACATGAAGGAATTAGAGGCTTCTACCAAGCAAATGATAACATCCTATAGGCGTGGCCTATATCGTTGCAGCCTTACTAAGAGTAGTAATGCTAACACTAGTAGGCGTGGCTCTCGCAACACTAATGTTTTTGAAGATGTACATCTGCAACAGGAGAAAACCAGACATCAAAGAAAGATATTTGTACTTTAGACATATGCATATATATATATATATATATAGTTTAATTTCTCTTTTGATCTTTTTCATTCTCTTGTTAATTGACACTGCAAAAAAGCAAAGCAGGAGAAAAATTAATGGAATGAGTGGTAATTGGATTGTTATCATCTTAACTTTGTTATAGAACAAGATAGAGGTTAATTTTTTAACCCAAAAAAGGAGGAAGATAAAGATGAATTATTATAAATTTTGAGGGCAGTTTCTTGATTTGGATCCCTTTCTATTTGCAGATAAATGTCACTTCACTTTCTTGCATTATCGCTTTCTTTCCTTTGTCTGTTATGATAAATGGACAACTCTTATTGCAGGCAGCAGCAATAATACAACAATACCTGTGGCGCCCTATGATATTTACATACCAGAATTTTTTCAATTAGCCCGAAAATAAAAATATTTGATATCAACGTTTTGGTATCTATCGGCAGCTTTGTCCAGCACTAACCAAACCTATTTAATAGATTACTTGAAGTTGAAGAAGATAATGTTCTGTTTTCTTTGAATATCGGTATGTGTGGTTAGATTTTGGGGGTGAGCAATTGTCCCTTTAGGGTGCGTTTGTTGCACCAGACTATCTCGGAGTGGATTAACTTCAGGGACTAAGCTGGACTGGCTTAGACTAGACTAAGCTAGACTGACTTAGTGAAGCGTTTGGTGCAATGTCGGACTAAAAAATAGAATAATTAAAAAAAAGAGATAAAACAACTGGTGATATATAAAAAAATATCCATGTTATTTGCTTCAACTTCAATTTCAACCAACATCAAAGTTTCAACCAAAAATTTTCAGTTCCCAAATTCTACCAACTTCAATTTCAACTAAAATTTCCAGTTCCCAAATTCTACCAAAATTTTAATCAATTTCAACCAACTTCAATTTCAACTAACCTACAATTGATAGTATTAAAAGCACACCACAAAGTAGCACACAAATATCCTATTAATTTTCCTTATTAACACTAGGATTTGCCAATTGTAGCATATGAAAATAAGGGTCTTTCCCGCAGAAAATTGTTTTATCTAACTACTTAAAATGTCACAAAAACTAGTTGTTGTCCCTACTGACCAGCCACCAAAAAATAATTATTAGACTGACTTACACTGGTCTAAAGTCTATGAAATTTTATATGCAAATACTAGACACACAGTACGACAGTCTCACAAATTTTTGGGATTTTTGGAGTTGATTTGCTATTTAAATTAAATCGTACAAAAACAGTACAGAAACAGATTTTGAGTAGATCACAAGTTTGAGAAAACGAGTTAGGGGAATTGTTATCCACCACCAAATAATCATGCAAACATGTTATGTTTCATTCAAATTCCTTTTATTTCCGGATGAAGATGCTCAAGTTGGCTCAATGTTAGAACACAACCGATTACTCTTTCTTACGTAGTATGTTAAGAGAATGACGTTTTCAACTTAACGTAGTCCCTAGCATGCAATCTAGAATGGCGTGTTCATAGATTTAACAAGTAGAAATCATTAAGAACGAAAAGAGTTTGAGTCATCACAAGGCATGGTAAGTACTGGCATTGTCTTACTTATCCTAGAAATTGGTTCACATGTTAATCGCAATTAACAAGTACTACTCTAGAACATATGTAGGTCCTCATTCAACAAGGGCAGGCATACATATATTCATAGCATTTGAATCCTAAATATGCTTACTAAGAATGCATCCATAGAAAACATATAAAGAATTCATCACTGACATAAGTAGTAAACCAATTTTCATCCATTCATAAAAGCAATTCAAGGACATGTCATAACAAACTTGCAATCATATTCGGGGCTTCAAAACAGCCCCTAACTACTTAAAATTTAGTTACACATAATTCTCAAATTAAACCAAAAGTAAAACATGGGTTGAGAAGATGAAACCAAGAAAAATAGAGTGAAGCCTCTTCTTCTTTCCTTCCTTGCTCTCTTCCGTGCCTCTTGCTCTCTTCTGTTTTTCTGCTCGTCCCTCTACCCTCTGTTGCGCGTCAGTCTCTCCATTCCCCTTTATTTTCTGTTTTTTCTTTCTCCGCACAGTCCCATTTATTTTCTGTTGCTCAGTGTCTCCCCCACTGCTTTTGCGCACTCCACTTCCTTTCTTTTCTTTTATTTTATTTTCAGTTTTTTTTTAATTTCTTTTCTCCATTTTGCTTGAAATTGATCCTAAAACAAAATTAACTGCACATTAACACAAGGTAAGGTAAAATGCCACAATTTTAACACAAAAACATCACAAAGACTTTAGAAATGGATGATATAAATGCATGAAATATATGAGTGATCAACAATCAAATTCTAAATTGCATATTGCCCAGAGGAAGAATTGGCAAATTAACTCATAATCTACCCAAAAAATTCATGTTCTCTATTAAAAACCAAAGATTTATAGCCTCAATTTCTCAAAAGCCACGCTTTGGCAATATATTTCCCACGAAGGGTAAGCAAATCAGGCTCTGCGTCATTGAGGCCTCCGTCTGCGAATCAAACCTCTAGCAGCAAGCTTCCATTTTCAATTGCAGATCTCAGTCAACCAAATTCGTTCCTGTTCCTTCGACCCCACCATTGTCTCCTCATCCAAACCTCTCTTATCCGATGACCCACCCCTATCCCTCATCAAATCGACGTGAATGGCCATGCCGGCGGCGGTGGAGAGCTCATACTCAGCCTTGTGCTTATCGTCGTCGTTCTCATCTTTTATGTAGCTCAGACTAAACCCAAAGAAGCGCGGAGCCGAGAATTTGTACATCTTGTCAACGATCGTTGTCGTCGGTGGGGTGGTCCAGAGAGGTTGGTCGAGCAAACATGGACAAAGATGGGAGGAGGATGGTTGGATGAGGACGCGATGAGGAAGGGACGCGAATGGTCTTAGTAGTCCCCTGCTGATTGGGGGGTCTCGCTAAGCCCTTCTAATGAAGGACTTAGTCGGAGCATGTCTGGTCTAATCCCATTAAACCTAATCCTTGTGCAAACCAAACATGAGACTACACTAGCAATTAGTTTAGTCTAGTCCAGTCCCTCTTAATCCAGTCAAACAAACACACCCTTACAGTACTATTTTATGTATTTGTATATGTCGTGTCTGTATGCTAGTCGTTATGTATGTGTGGTTGAATTTTGGGTGTGACCAATTGTCCCTTTACAGTACTTTCTTTGAATATCCGCCTGTGTAAGTTTATCTTACATTGTCGGTCCCAAGCCCTGATAAAGGAGGAATGGGAGGGCGTTAGGTAGTCGACAACCGGTACTTTTATCTTACGTCGAATCCTTATGATGTGTAAATTAATGTTGCAGAAACCACCATTCATGTTCAGTTGGCATAATTGACGTCGTGTCTGTATGCTAGTCCTTATTAAAACCTACCTAGGATCGATATACGATGTGGGTTTGGACTTTCTTTTATGTAGTAATCGCCAATTGAACAAAAAAAAAAGGTTTTCTTTGTAGTCTTTCTTAACTACATGTCTATATTCAATTTATCGTTGCAGCAAATTTCTACCCTTGATTGTGAAAATTACAAGAATATGTTAAGCTTTGTGATCTCAAAGACGTATGTGTTGATCAGAATGAAGAACCCACACAAAAGTTCCTTTTTATTTTTGGTAATCGAGGAACCAACGAGAGTTGCAAGATCCTAGAAATTAAGAACATGATAAATATTGGACTACAGGCTTTAATTAAGCACTGAACGATTAATCGATAATACATACGCTCATAATGCTAATAGAATTAATTAATATCTGTAATAAGGGTTGCTAAAAAAATGCAGGGCTGCCATGAAAATAGTGAATTTTTTTATGAAGGCAAAGGTGATCAAATCTGTGTGAGGTACTTATAGGCCTCAAACGATGAAAACTTCAACTATTTTTTTTCCTTAAAAAGGAAGACAACCGGTGGCAAGTCATGATTATCCATATTTTTCTAGTCCGGAGAGGGTACGAAAACTTCAACTTCACCACGCTTGGATTTCTGCATTAGTATAATCAGTTATATATATGTTAGGTAAAAATACAGTATTCAATCAACGTTGATGACATGTTCCAGTGGTTGCTTAAAAGATATTCAACTAAAGAACGTCACGACCTCTAGTATTAAGTCCTCATGTTCAACGTTGGTTTTGAAACTGAGATGTTGGTTAAGAGGAAAGTGATTATTTGAGAGAATTGCAGTCAACGCTCGTGGACTTGGCCAAATTTGGGGTGAACTACATGATTATGTATTTTGTTGTTTGTTGTTTTTTGCATCAATTTTACTTGAATTTTGCTTTGCAATCTTTAGGCTAGGAATTTTGTATGTTGACACTTTGAAACTCCTACATACTGCGGTACCCGAATTCTTGCATTTAATTCCCACTTGTACAATACAACTGAAAAGCGCTGTTGACTAGATTTTAACGACACACTGAACCCTATCTCTTGTATGATTTTGTGCATCAATGAACACCAAAACTCAAAACTCTTCACAAAAACAAAAATGTAACCCTTACCATGTCTTCTTTATCTACGTTTTGTGGCTCATCTAATTAGTGCATTGTGATTTGAAGTTGAAGTTTAATGTTGCCTAACGACCGGGGAAAAGCCCTAATATAACAAAAACCTGTCCGTCTCAAGGTGCATAATCTCCATCATTTTTCTCAATTATTTCCAGACTTACAGAAGCATAAACGATTGACTTCATCTTTTCAAAACAGAATGACATACTTGAAAGCAATAGTTTCTTCTTCCTTTGATATATTTGTAGGTGCCTGTAGAAATAGTGCGGTACCACCCGATGCTAGCTCGAATCCAGGATGGCTCAGGGAGACTAGCTTTACTGCTATAGGCCGGTGAATTGACTCCTAGGGTTTCATTTTGCATTGACTTGTCTCCTTTTGCCACTTACAAATAAAATGACTGTCCCTTGACCATCTAGACCATTAATCTTTGTACATGTAACATATCTGAAGACATGACAACTAACCTTTTAGGGGAGGTATATCATATAACAAGGGAATATGAGATATTTAGCTTTGGTGGGTACTTTAATTACTCTCTTTTAGAGTTTGACTTTTATGTAATTTTCCTCTCTAGTGAATTGAAAATCTTGATCTTACGCAAAAAAAAAAAAAAAAAAAAAAAAAAAATTTCTCATTAATTTCCCTTACCGTGTAAGTTGGATTGAAAATCGTGATTTAACTCCAAAAAAAAAAAAAATTCTAGTCAATTCTGAACATTTTTAAGTGATATTAAATGAAGATTCAAATGTATCTAAAGATTTTGCAAGTGGTGTTTAGCATCTTCTTTTTCAACTTTTTCAGGTTCAAACCATCATCATCCCTCCTTTAATATAGGAGTGTATTGTAGATGGAGTTGAAGTTTGGTTGATTCTTAAATCTAAGTGTATTTAATATAAATATTTAAAGAGGTTATCCTATATTGAATTAAGACTATTTTTTTACTTCTTAAAAATATGAGAATATTGTAGTATTCGATTATGACATTTTGTGTTTGACGAAAAAAAAAAATTACGACATTTTGTGAGTTTACAAAAATCCATGGTGTATTCAAAAAGTCATGAATTTTGATGAACTTTAAGGTTTTTTTTTTTTTGTTTTTTTTTGTTTTTAGTAAATTTTTGTCATAACAAATCTAACATCTTCTTTGTTTTGTCATTCTTTGATACTCTACCTACCACTATAATGTACTAACTATCATTATTACCACTTCTACCATCATGTCGTTGCTACCACCTTACCTTAATGTAACCATCTCCTCTACCTTATCACCACCACCACCATTGTCACCATTGCTCTGCCACCGATATTCATAAGCATCATCCCCACTCCTACTATGATCACCACCACCACCATTACTATGACTGCCACCTCTACCACCATCCTCGCCACCTCATAACCAAGCCCCCATCTCTCTTCCACCACCACACCCCCACATTCACGACCCCTACTATTATCACCGCCACAACACAACAGGAAAATTAAATTAATCGAATTCAAAAAAAAAATATAGTAAAGAAATCCTGGGCTTTTCAAAAAACGTTGCTGTTCGTTGTTACCTTTTACCTCCCCAAATTCCGAATCTTTGTGGGCAATAACACAAAAAGTCCAAGAAATCTCAATGGGACAGAAAATTTACTGTTCAATTTCTTCGAATGTTACTTTGGGTTTAATGTTACACTAAACGCAATGGGTTCAATCAAAGGTTACTTTATCAAGTTCGTCATAAGGACTTTTAATTGGTTTCGATGTTTTTTGTTGCGTTTGACCATTTTGTGGTTTTGAAATTTGAATGCATATTTCTGACACACCAACCATATTTAACAAATGCGAATATTAATTACTTTTAAATTTTTAATAAAATTTTTGGTGACTGAGAATTTTGATTTTATTTTTGGTCAATTAGATTACGATAGATGGAAAGAGATAAATAAATTAATTCCTGATAGAAATTGGTTTTTTTAATACGAATTTCTTTTTGGGGATTTGGATTTTACGAGCCTAGGGTTCTCTTTTCATACTTTACTCGTCTATTTTGTGCTTTTTTGTGATTGTAGAAGCTAAAGGACTCACTTGGGCAGTCGGTTCTTCAAAATTCCTCATCTGGGTTGTTCGAGTTCTTCAATTTCCTCATCTGGGTCAGTGAGTTTTTGTTATTTTTCCATTGTTCTTCGCCAGGTTCGTTGATTTCCCCACGTTTTCTCATTTCGGTATCGGCTAATTTTTCCAATTTCAACTGTTTTTGGGTTGAAATCGAGGGCTTGTTCCCCAATTTGCTTCAATCAGTAGGCAAAAGTTGGTTAATGTTCTCATTTATTTTGTTTTGGGTCCTGGATCTTGTTATGCTGGCTTTCTGGGGGATTTTTGGTCCTGATAGTTCTTTGTGAGGAGGGATTTTGATCCCTCTTAGTAGATTTGCTTATCCTTCCTTGAATGCTAGCCAGAAGGTGAAATTTGATCAGGTTGGTGTGATTGGAATCCAAGTTGATGCCTGGCTTCAGTGTTATAGTCTAGGCGGGCGATTTCAATGGTTTTCGGGTTTTAAATCTTCTTTGAGGAGCTTGAGCTTCTTTGCTTTGCCAACTGTGTGGAAGCCTGCGGAAATAATGTTTCATTCTCAGGGAGCTTCAAAGCACCCTTGTAGTCTGCTTGTGGTCACTTGCGGGAACCTTTCTGAAGAGAAATGTAACAAGGACACCGCAGATGATAAGCTCAGATACCCGTTTCCGGAGTTAGTTTCCTCTGGGCGTTTGGAGGTGAAAATCTTTCTTACCATTATCTTCTGAATATTTAATATCGAATGTGTTGCGCATACTTTTATTACTAGTATCTTCTTGTTCTTAACTTATTTGGTGAATTCCTGGTTTTGGTAAAGTTTCTAAGTTTGCCCTATGTGCGACTCTTTAAAATGCAGGTTCAAACTCTGACCAAGCCAACCAAAGAGGAGTTTCGTAAAATGCTTGAATCATATAAGCCGAATCTTGTATACTTGCAAGGGGAACAGCTTGGTAATAGTGAAATTGGCTCTCTTGTCTGGGAGGATGTTGATTTGTCAACTGCTGAAGCTATATCTGAGATCTTTGGTGCCACATTGCCTACAACTGTAAGTATTATATTTCTTGAACTTGCAAAATGGCATGTTTTGGGATTTTGTGTGCATGATTTATGCTAATGTTCCTACTTGCATTGGAGAATTAAGGAAAATAGATTTCATTATATGTGGTCGGTGAATTGCTTTCTTATCATTTTGTAATTATGGCAGCATGTGATTATTTGACTTGGTGTGAGTCATTTAACAAGAGGCATTGAAAAATCAAGAAGTAGGTAATCAGGAAGTTCGTTATGAGGTGTGGTGATTTGTGCATTGCATGATTTCTTGTGGCCTGCCTCTCTGTTTGGAGCTCATTCCCATCTATGATTGATGTTTCTTTTCTTTGTTCATTCTGGTTTGTTCTTTGTAATATGCTTGAAGTTTATTTGACATGGGATGGGACTCAACTTCATATAATAATTATTTGCAGGTTTATTTGGAGGTTCCGTATGGTGCAACATTGGCAGCAGCCGTTCACTCTAAGGTAATCTTAGTAAGGCTTAATAAGTATGCTTTCAGGAGTCCACTACCAAGGGATCAGCGAGAAATGGCTAGTTAGGGTGTTGCACTTTGTTTCAGAACTGGAAGCCTACCCGTTATTTTTGTAACATGGTTTTGTTGAAAATTGTGGCTGAGTATGTATCTTTCATCTGCAGGGGATTCCTTATGTGATATATTGGAGAAGTGAATTTTCTTCTTATGCTGCTTGCCACTTTCGACATGCTTTACATTCAGTGGTACAAAGGTACTTCTCTTTCTATTCATTTATCTGAGCACATGCATAAAGGGTGTCCAGTAGCATCTTGGATTGGTTACAGGGAAGGAGATGACATTTTGGTGTGCACATGTATGTATTTGTAGTATTCTTGATTACTGTTTGGTTAGCGTCTCTAGAGACACCTAATGCCATTGAATTGGATTTAAGCATTGTCTGTGCAATATGCATTAACATAGTTAGTTAAGACATCTTTTTTATGCTATTATGTTCCATACAAGCACCAAATAGGCTTGACAATTGCAGTTTTGTTGATTGCAGTTCATCAACTCATACATGGGATGCCTTCCAACTTGCATATGCTTCCTTTAGGATTTACTGTGTACAAAACAACCATCTCGTTCCTGCTAACATATATAAATCTAGTGCGGAGCTGGGGCCATGTCTTCTTGGTGACCGTGTAAAAATCAACGTTGATCTTCCTGAGGCAGATATGGAAGAAGATGAAGAAGGTTCCTTGGGTACTCTCCCTGCTATAAAGATACATGATGATGATGTGATCTTGAGGTTTCTTGTTTGTGGCGAGCCATCCACATTGGTAAGCTTGTATATACTTGTGTTTACTAGCGTTTAAATACTTATCTTCAATTAAGAACACATGCACACGGATGCCAGCAGAAATGAATACACTACCATATTTTCCATAGATTTATGGGATGACTTCTTCTCAGGATGCAAGCTTATTAGAACCTTTGGAGGATGGTCTCAATGCCCTCTTAAACATCGAAGTAAGTGTGATTTTGGCTAGTCAATTTGTGTTTCATTTTCCTATATCTCTAATTAAGGGAAGTATTCTTTTTGCCCTTCCAGAAGGTTCTTCGGATTCCCGATTAAACTTATTGAAAAAAGTGATAATTAGCACTGCCTTACATAACTTGCTTAATTTTATATCTATCCGAAAATTAAATAAAAACTAACATGCTACTCTTAGTATCATCATGGTGCAAGTTCTTATTTTTCTTCATTTTGTTGTCTATGCTGCTTCAGATGCGTGGGAGCAAGCTTCATGGAAAATTTAGGTATGTTGTATTCTTTGAATAGTTTATGTATATGATGGATGCTCTTTTATTGTTGCTGGATAGGGTATTTGCAAATTGCGTAGTAGTTAAAATTTGCATCATCACATTGGTTTGAATGGTAGCTGTTCATGTGGAGAAAGGATGCTGTTGATTTTGTTACATGTGTTGGCGTTTCCATTTTGTAATTTTCTCTCATAAAATCAGGTGTTGAATGTGCATTTTTGGTATATGAAACAGCTTCAACGCTCCATTAAAGTTTCAAACTGCCTGTTACTTTTTTATTTTTTTCCTCAACGTGGACATATTGAGCAGTTATTCCCCAGAGTCAATAAAATTAATTAATGAATGCTTTTTACGTGATTAGTGCTCCTCCGCCGCCTCTTCAGGCTGGGACATTTTCTCGTGGTGTTGTGACCATGCGATGTGATGTATCAACTTGTAGTTCAGCACACATATCACTTCTTGTTTCGGGCAGTGCTCAAACTTGCTTTGATGATCAGGTAATCCTAAAGGACTTGTGTGGAAAAATTTTGGTATTGGGAGCTGTTCAACTTTTACACCTCGTTACCTGTTTACTTTCAGCTCTTGGAGAATCATATAAAGCATGAAATTATTGAAGAGAGTCAACTTGTACGTGTATTGCCCAAAGATGAGGAAACCAAAGCACCTCTATCTGAACCACGAAAGTCTGCTTCAGTTGCATGTGGGGCTACAGTATTTGAAGTTAGCATGAAGGTTCCTGCATGGGCTTCACAGGTTTTTACTTGCGTCCTCCTCTATCTTGGTCTTAGCTAGCATGATATTGAAGAACTGTGAGGACACCGAAAATTTATGCCCCCTTTCGTTAATTTTGATTCTGCTGGTCACCGCTTACCTGCCCAATCTTTAGTTAGTAGTAATCAAATTCTCCTCTCTTAGTTGAGGGGATTTCAAGAAATTAGGGTAGACTAACTTGTTATAGGATCCATCTAATTCTCATGCCCAAGAACAAGCCTCGTTAAAATGGATTCTAATTTTATTGCTACAACATCAGTGTTTGTTCTACAATCAGGTTATCTCAGGAGCATCCTTTTTGGAAAATTAAATTTACCTTGTTGGCTTGGAATCTTCAGTGTTAATTTTTTTAGGTTGAACAAAAATGGATCAATTTTTTCCCAATATTTTATGTAACTAATATTTTGTTGTGGCTACAAATTCAGGTTTTGAGGCAGCTCGCACCTGATGTCTCCTATCACAGTTTAGTTGCACTGGGCATTGCCAGCATTCAGGGATTACCTGTGGCATCTTTTGAAAAAGATGATGCTGAGCGCCTTCTTTTCTTCAGTTCCAGTACGGGGAAAGATGATAGATCAAACGGCTTGGTTCTCAGCAGCCTTCCTACTTGGTTGAGACCACCTCCTCCTAGTAGGAAGAGATCTCAACCATGCCAAGACACAAGACCGGGTTCTCTTGACGGCCAAGTGCTTCCATGTTTAGCTGCTTCTAAAATAGATGAAGACAATAAAGTGGCTGGAGCAATGAATGGGGTTAACACAGCTTTAATTCCAACCAGGCAAAGATTGAAAATAGCTGCAATGAGGCCCATTCCTCATGTTCGTCGTCCTAAAATGACACCCTTTTCTGGAATTTCTGAGGGAGATGGACATGATGGTGGCCAAGTGAAGGTTCATATGCCTCCTCCTCCACCCACAAAGCTCAGTATTGTGGGATTAACTCCTACAACACAACGAAAATCGTACTCAAGCTCTTCTCAGGCTAAGCAGATTATTTCCTTGAATCCTTTGCCTTTAAAGAAACATGGTTGCGGTAGAAGTCCAATACATTCTTGCTTAGAGGTGAGCTATGTTTTGCTGAAAGTGTTAAATCAATTTGTGTGTGTTGACCAAGTTTGTATATTATACACACACATGCACAACTATAGTATACTATAATATATGTCCACCTTGGAACCAAAGTACTAATGCACGACTACCATGCATTCTCCATGCGCTGGAGATACTTTTTTTCACATGGAGGTTGTAACTATGTGATAAGAAAATGATATACATGCTGGTCATATAATAATAGCTGTCAAGAAAGTAAGTAGGGTAGTAAATGGGGAAGTCAAAATAGGGAAATAGGTAGCGGGAATTTTCTTCTCTGTTTTTTTATTTATTTTTTTTCCAAATTGTATCGAAGGATGCAGTTTTCCTTGAAAAATAAGAATTAGCAAAGGTACAAGGGGGATGTTGTAGAATAAAGGTAAAGTGCGGACATGAGAGAAGTTCCAATATTATAATAGTAATAGATAATGAATATTTGTTAATGTTACTCCCACTATACACTTAACCTTTGGGATTTTACTTTCTTGTTTTGCTTTCACTTCTATTTACTTTTTAGTTCTCCCTGGAGCAGGAGGAGTTTTTGAAGGATGTAATGCAGTTTCTAATTCTCCGGGGACATAATCGGCTCATTCCTCAAGGTGGACTCACTGAGTTTCCAGATGCCATTCTCAATGGAAAGCGTCTTGACCTCTACAACTTGTATAAAGAGGTGAACTCATTAAATTCCTTTGCCAGGATTTTCACTTGCTGAAGTTGCGACTAGAATAATTAACCACTGGATTTTGTGAAATTTGTTATTGAAAAGTTGAGGTGTTTGTCAGGTGGTCACCAGAGGAGGCTTTCATGTTGGCAATGGCATCAATTGGAAAGGACAGATCTTCTCAAAAATGAGCAATTACACGATGACCAATAGAATGACTGTATGTTTATAATCTCCCTTTGGTTTTGTTTTCCAATTTTGAAATATTTTATGCTGCAACATCTGCAAAGAGGTAAGGGAGAATGAAAGGGTAGGACCAAAATTGTGAGACGGTTTATGCTTATGAGAGAATAGTAGTCGCACCTAAGAATATTTGGGATGGCTTCCGCATATATATATTCTAAACCCTAAATAGTATATGATTATGAAAGGATGAATAGGGACTTAATCACTCATTCTTTATGTGTAAGATTCAGTAGATTGGAAGACTTCAATTGATACAGGCGAGTATGATTCTTGTTTTCACAGGGTGTTGGAAATACACTTAAACGACACTACGAAACTTACCTTCTAGAATACGAATTGGCTCATGATGATGTAGATGGGGAGTGCTGCTTATTGTGTCACAGGTTCATATTTACCCCGTCTTATTTCTTCTCCATTGGTGAAAAATGATTGTATTAGCTAAATGTTTGGTTGCGTGAAATTGGATATTGTTCTACAGTAGCGCAGCAGGGGATTGGGTAAACTGTGGAATATGCGGCGAGTGGGCCCACTTTGGCTGTGACAGAAGGCAGGGTCTTGGTGCTTTTAAGGTATCATATTGCAAAATCCATGAGCACCTTGTGGCAGCGGAAACAAATCCTTCGGCTTGTGTATGTTAAATTTTTGTTTCGACTTTGCAGGATTATGCAAAAACAGATGGACTGGAGTACATATGTCCACATTGCAGCATCAGCAACTTCAAGAAGAAACCACAGAAAATAGCAAATGGATTTTCGCAAGGCTCAACAGTATCACGGCCACTGTAATTCAATTTTGCTCCTACAAAATCATAATTAATATTACTTTCCTTTTGGCTCTCTGATTTGGAGGTTGCTTCCCTCCTCAATCCGGCGCGAGAAATTGTTGATTTGTACGGTTGATTAGGTCTTAAATCACGTCAATGGAAAACTAGGAGACGAATGATGGGGGGAGGACAAAGTTAGAAAACAGCAAGTGTAGTAGAGCATACTAGTTGGCGTAGGCATTTTGTTGCGGGTGGGAAATTTATGTTCTCTTTCTATCTCCTCTTACCCTATGATTTCAGTCTCTGTTTATGTTTTCCCTTTGGGAGGGGGGGGGGGGGTGGTGGAGGTGGAGGTTGATAGTTAAGAAATCCCATGATTGAGAAGGGTCGATGTAATATAATGCCGCTATCTTTGTGAACGTATATGACTTTATGTAGCGTTTAATGAAAGATTATGAATATACTGACCTATCCACACTGTCTGTCTTTCTAATCCGCAGTTCGACTATTTTTTTCTTTTACATATGAACCGTTAGATCTGCATTGTGTGGCAATGGATGGGTATAGGCGGGTTTGCACTCCTATACCCGTCCGTGCCACCATTTCTTATGGCGTAGTGATTCACTCATATTCTCCCTCTACACACACCTCCATTTTCCCATTCTGCTCCTCCCCCTTCTGTTTTTGGGCAAACTTATTGGGATGGAACACAAACAATTATTGATGCAATGTTCTATGATTTTATCAACTCAGTGACAATTATTAATGCAATAACCTATTTATTAAAATTGTTTCTCAAAAAAAAAGAAGGCATAATTGCTTTTCACACACATTTCTACATATGAGAAGCACAAAAATACAAAAAATAAACGGTAAGAGGTAATATAATAGAGAAATGCTGGGGAGAGACTCAAAAGTAAATTTTTTTTTATGGACTTTCTACCACCTAATATTTTTGGTACAATGTTTTATAATGTTGTCACAAGAATTAACGTGAAACTATGAGGTGGTAGATAGTCCATCAAGAGCCTTAGCATTTTTTAGTATAATAACCTCATGAAGCAAAGTGCCAATCGTTTGGGAAATTGAGGAAAAATTAACAGCCAAACTCCTTAAAATTTGTACTGCGTCTCTCCAAATAGTCGGAACTTGATGAGACTGTCCAAATCCTTTTACAAGTTAAACATCATCGCCAAGCTCTGATAATACTACTCTTCTGTTGGTTGATAAGTTCTACTTTTTAGCTATCCATGACGAGCAAGAAGTATTTCCCTTCTCAGATGAGAAATATGCACAAGAGTTGCAGCTTCAAGAGGCTCTAATGTCCTCTGCAATTGCTTCATTAATGCCCCCAAAATACTACTCGGTCACTGAGAATCGAAGAAGAAGATGTTGAAACCCGAATGAAAAAGTAAAAGGGAAGGAAAAAGAAACTGGACAATCCTCTGAGGGTTTTTGAGGGATCTGCATGGACGTCAAACAGACCGGAGAAATGTTCAGAAGCACTGGCTGCCGTCACATTTTGCATTGATTGCATTGGGAGATATGTTGGGACAAAAATTAGAAAACCTTTCAATCGTGAAGTATCCTGATTTGAAGTGCAAAGGTGAGTTGGAGCCAGAGTCATATCATGCAAGTCAATTATTCCTGAGAAGGTGTTTATAGGTTGGAAAGTGCACTTTGTGAGTTGATGATTCTGGAGTCTCAGAAATTTTACTGCCATTTTAAGGACTGCTCCTCAAGGATGAGGATGGAAAGGTTCTTGCTACAGAGAACGCGGTCAAAGACAGATGGAGAGGTTATTTTCATAATCTTTTCAATGAAGGACATGAAAGGAGTACTTCTTTAGGGGAGTTGAGTAACTCAGAAGAGTGTAGAAACTACTCCTTTTATCGTCGAATCAGGAAGGAAGAAGTGGTTGTAGCTTTGAAGAAGATGAAGCATAGAAAAGCAGTGGGCCCAGACGATATACCGATCGAAGTGTGGAAAATTTTGGGAGAGACAGGTATAGCATGGCTCACTGACCTTTTTAATAGGATTTTGAAAACGAAGAAGATGCCAAATGAGTGGCGAAAGAGCACTTTGGTGCCTATCTACAAGAATAAGGGCAACGTACAAAATTGCATGAACTATAGGGGTATTAAGTTAATGAGTCATACAATGAAGCTCTGGGAGAGAGTCATTGAGCATAGATTGAGGCAAGAGACACGGGTTTCGGACAACCAATTCGGGTTCATGCCAGGGCGCTCAACCATGGAGGTAATCTATCTCTTACGAACATTGATGGAAAGATATAGAGATGGGAAAAATGATTTACACATGGTCTTTATAGATTTGGAAAAAGCATATGATAGGGTCCCAAAAGACATTCTTTGGAGGATTTTAGAGAAGAAAGGAGTACGAGTACATATATCCAAGCTATAAAGGATATGTATGAAGGAGCAAAGACTGCCGTAAGAACTCATGAAGGACAAACCGAAAGCTTCCCCATAACTGTAGGATTACATCAAGGCTCATCGTTAAGTCCTTACCTTTTTGCGTTGGTAATGGATGAGTTAACATGACATATTCAAGATGATATTCCTTGGTGTATGCTTTTCGCAAACGATATAGTGTTGATAGATGAAACTCAGGAAGGGGTAAATGCGAAGCTTAACCTTTGGAGAGAAGTGTTGGAATCTAAAGGTCTTCGCCTAAGCCAATCAAAGACAGAATATATGGAATGCAAGTTCAGTGCAAATGAAGGCCAAAATGAGTTAGGTGTGAGGATCAGAGATCAGGAAATACCAAAGAGAGACCGTTTTCGCTACCTAGGATCTATCTTGCAAAAGAACGGAGAATTAGATGGAGATCTCAACCATAGAATACAAGCTGGATGGATGAAGTGGAAGAGTGTATCCGGCGTGTTGTGTGACCGCCGTATGCCACCGAAGCTCAATGGAAAATTTTATAGGACGGCAATAAGGCCGGCGATGCTGTATGGCATAGAATGTTGGACCGTGAAGCATCAACACGTACACAAAATGGGTGTAGCGGAGATGAGGATGCTTCGTTGGATGTGTGGGCACACGAGAAAGGATAAGATTAGGAATGAGGATATCCGAGGTAAAGTAGGAGTAGCTGAAATTGAAGGAAAACTGAGAGAAAATCGGTTACGGTGATTTGGACATGTGCAAAGAAGGCATACTGACGCTCCAGTTAGAAGATGCGACTACGGGACAGAGGTTCATGGCTGAAGGGGTAGAGGAAGACCTAGGAAAACTTTGGAAGAGACTCTAAGAAAAGACTTAGAGTACTTGGATCTAACGGAGGACATGACACATGACTGAGCACAATGACGTTCTAAGATTCATACAGTTGACCCTACTCAGTGACTTGGATTTTTCAAATCTCCAACCGAGAAGTTTTCCTCACTCGGGAAATTAAGGGAACACTACCTCAACCTACATGCTCCACTCACAAAGCCTCAACATACAAGCTTCAACAAAAGAAAAATTCAAAGAACTTAGTGAAGAAGGCTTTGGTGTATTTAACACTATACGTTGAAATGAGGCAAAGCTTATTTATTGATATCTCCGATAAGTTAAAAATATGTACATATACATGAGTCAAATAAACAAACAAGAGAGAGCCTTCACAAAGGTTGCTTAGGAGAAGTCTCAACAGTCGGTAGAGTTCCAGAAAGAGAAGGTACCGGAGGGGGATCATTCAGAACCTCAGTACTGGATAGAACCCTAAAAAGATGAGGCATTGGAGGTTGATCATTTGGAGCTTCATTACGCGGTACAGCCCCAGAAGACGAAGACAATAAATGCCTTTGGAACAAACCCACAAACCTCTGATGATCAAGTAAAATCTGACCATCAGATTCCTTCATCTGGTCAAGCTTCATTTTCATGTTTGTAGCATAGTCATGTGCGAGCCGGTGCAACTGTTTATTCTCATGCTTGAGCCCTCTAATATTCTGTTTGAGACTCATCACCTCAGTCGCCAATTGGCGGGTTCGAGCAAATAGGCGTTGGGCCATATTAGACACAGAACCTGCACACTGAACACTGAGAGCCAGAGAATCCTTAACAGCCAACTCATCAGACCGTTTGGAAAGTAGTCTGTTATCTTTTGGAGTGAGAAGGTTCCTGGCCACCACCGCAACGGTCATATCATTCTTCATCACGGAATCCCCAACAGTAAGATGACCAGTAGGGGATAAGAAGGATGGGCGCCATATGTTGTCTGGAGAAGGCGTGGCTGCCTCTTCAACAAGGTTCAAGTCAAAATGACGGTCGGAGGGGCCATACATTTTCAAAGGTGTTGAAGAGAGAAGAGGTCGGACAAATCAAGATCTTAGAAGTGCAAGAAGGGAGCTTCTACTGGTGGATATTCAAGTGTGCCTTAGAACTTAATGCCAGCCTCTATAAAAATCTGCACTCGACGAAGCTTCAGAAATCGAAGAGGCGCCTGCTTAGAAATCGAAGAGGTGTTTGCTTTCTCAAAAGCTGGGCTCCACAGAGGCCACAAGGGCCGATCTCAGAAATCGAAGAGGCGTTTGTTTTCTCAAAAGCTGGGCTGCTCAAAGACCACGACGGCCGATCTAAAAAATCAAAGATGCGTTTGCTTTCTCAAAAGCTGGGTTGCTCAAAGACCACGACGGCCGATCTCAGAAATCGAAGAGGCGTTTGCTTTCTCAAAAGTTGGGCTGCTCAGAGACCACGAGGGCCGATCTCAGAAATCGAAGAGGCATATGCTTTTTCAGCCTTGTCAGCACCTGTCACATGCACACTCAGCTTTGCGGAAATTATGGGCATTCTGTTGAAAATTTCTGGTGAAGTAGAAAGCACGTGAATCTTACTGTTCAATCATCCACTTTCCACATGCAACATTAGCTCATGGGTACCACATATAACTTTGCCAAAGATCTCTGACAAAGTTTAGACACGTGAAGCTTGCAGCTTCCACTACATCGCTATGACCAAGAAGGGTAAAAGAATAGCAAAGAAACAGTACTAACAAAGTTTTAGACACATAAATTTTGAAGGTCTAGCTACCATATTATTACCCACAAGGGTAAAGGAACAACACCATTGCTGGATAATTGGAAAATTCCTGTGTGTCAACCTCTGTGCTCCATGGCAAGGTAGACTAGCAAACATGCCCAACCTTTACTCACATTCGAGAAAACACTCCCAACAAGATTGTTTGCTCTAAAATCGAAGAGGCACTGCTCTCCGAATCTCGAGAGCCAGACTCCCAACATGATTACTTTCTCAAAAATCGAAGAGACACCGCTCTCCGAATCTCAAGAGCCAGACTCCCAGCAGGATTGCTTTCTTAAAAATCGAAGAGGCACTGTTCTCCGAATCTCGAGAGCCAGATCCCCGACATGATTGCTTGTTCGAAAACCGAAGAGGCACCACTTTCTCAACTTTAAGAGCCAGATCTTATTGGATAAAGCTTGTCTGTAATTTTCACACGCAACAT